TTTGTGTAAAGGGAGTATATGGAGAATATAATAATAATGGTTCATATAGTAACCCAAACTCGTAAAATACCATATTAATTTAAAATGCGGTAGTTTTGTATTTATTATTTTTTATCATAAATCGAATTTTTTTAATCGAGCATGAGTAGAATATAAAAATACCGGATCTGAATCACGGGATGGTACAATACACAGTTACCTGGGCCTATCGCTATTACAATTTCCAAAACTCATTACCTAGTTTGCTCGGCGCTTTACGGTAATTTGTCCATCATGTTACACTGCGCATCTGGCGTTGGCGACTACATGTACATGCACATGCTATACGATACAGGAGACCAAAAATGGACACAAAACTTGAGCGTATCGACTTTGAAAAAATGTATTCTCTTTTGATTTCTTTTTCCTTTAGGGATTTGTTGAATATTTTAATATTCACGGTCCTTTTATACACCGCTAAATTTTATTTTGATTATTTTACGCGAGACAATCCGCTTCCAGGGCCATTTCCACTTCCACTAATTGGATCGTTATACACCTACCACGGTAATGCTGTTCAATGGGGTATAAAACTACACAAAACATATGGTGAACTTTTCGAAGTTTGGTTCGGTACACAACGTCAAATCTTTTTGAACGAGCATAGGCAACTTGAAAAATTACATCAACCAAATCTTAAAAATAATTTTATCATACACATTTCGAGAAATAAAGGCTTAGAAAAATATGGTGTGATGAATAGTGGATTATTATTCAATCTCGATTTTGAGAAATGGAAACAAATTCGTAAAGAGTTGAATCGGACAATGACTTCACAAAGATTCCAAAAGGAAACCATCGTCGTGGTTCAAAATTTATTTGATGAGATGACCAAATATTGGGAAAAACTTGAACATGAACAAGTCGATCTATCGATATGGGTTCACCGATTATTTTCGGATCATTTCTTTCTAACAACCACTGGAATCTCTTGTCAACTCTTAGCACAAGAGTTTAATACCCAATGCACGGATGCTCAAAAGTTATCGATCCGACAAGAGACAGTGGATTTTTCAAAATCGATTACGGGGAGACAAAGAATACACAACGAAGCTCTTCAATTTTTTATTTTGTCTCCAGAAATTGTTTGGCGTTTTATTTTAAGGAAATTAACTAATAAATACTTGGAAAATCGATTAAATTTCTACCAGCAATTTGATTCGATAATAGAAAAACGCCTAGAGCAAATAATGAATGGAGATACTCTAGAATATAAAGATAGTGCAATTAGTACAATGATTAATATGGAAATTGAGCATCAAAGCACACTAGAAACCGAAAGCAAATTGCCAAATCGACTAATAAATGTCGCTAATATTCGTGAAGCGTTGATAACTGTTCTTGGCGCCTCAATCGCAACGGTCCGTATTTCATATTCTCTTAGTGATCAATTTACTTTCTGAATATTCTCAGAAGTGCACGCTTACTTAAATATTTTTTAATTTAGACTGTTAGCGCTTTTTTATTTCTTATTGAATATGTTGGCCGAAATCCGAATGTGGAAAAAAAACTTCTGGAAGAATTGTTCGCTATTCATGGCACAGATCCAAATAGTCCAATAGAATTTGATAAATTGCAAAAAATGATATACACTGAGGCTGTAATTTACGAAAGTAGGTATATATATAGTCGTCTAATGCTATTAGATTCAATATATAGTAAGGCATTCTCGTTTTTAGCATTGCGAATTACGAGTTTTATTCCATTGAACAATCGGAGCAACACCTATGCCGATAAAATTGACAACCTTATATGGAAACCTGGAACACAATTCATAATCAATTTGGCAGCAATCTGTCATAATCCGAAATTATGGCATAATCCCGAAAAATTTATCCCTGAACGTTTTTTAGAAGAGCCTAGCAGAAAAAATCTCACTTTTACATTTGGATTCGGTCCAAGATTATGCCCTGGTAGACCTATTGGCATGGCGAATCTAAAAGTCCTTGTGGCGTTGCTTTATCGCAAGTATTCCGTAGAATTGTTGAATAAGGATTTACCAATAAAGCAGAGAATTGCGCTAACTACTATTTGTGAAGGGACTAAAGTATTTCTTAAGAAAATTTAAGATACTTTGTAGTTATAAATATTTTGTTTCATAATTATTGTTCCGTTATAAATTTTTTAAACTAACTAGTTAGTATATAAATTAGCATAACTTTTCAGGCATTCATAAAAGATTAAAAATTATAAACACCAGCGTATAATATTTTAATCAATTAATGTCAAATTTTGCAATTAATCACTAATGTTATCAAACTCTGTTCTATAGGAAACGTCATTGAGAACCCATTAACACCGATCGTAATTCACGGCAGGCAACAAATATTATCTAATTGTTTCAAAAAATTTATCTGATTTAACGGTTATTTTAATATGGGTTTCTACTACATGAAATAATATAGTAATTTCTAATATGAAGCAATCCAAAAAATAAAAGAGCTAAATGATACCTCCATCACAAATATGCATTAATATATTGGATAAGTAGTTTATTTCTCCCTGCGAAATACTACGAATTGATCATTTGAAAATCTGGATAAATAATCCTCTTTTAATTCGGACGAAATTTTTTCGTAGCTTCTTTTTTTTGATATTCTGATAACATTTCCCAATGATGATAGCTAAATGAGGAATATTACAATGCAATGTCATCCATTTAGCATTTTCGTTTCTGTTCGATGCATGCTCGAAATTTTCTCTGCTTTACGTCGATAATCCGCTTCTTTTGTCCTATAAAAATATTTCATTGGAAGATAGTAAAATAATTTGACATTTCCAATTTAATTTATTAATTCTTTTCAAAACATGAATCTAACCATTTTTATTTTAGATTTTTTCGGGAAGAATAGCAACAAAAGGAATTTTACAAACATGAAACAACAAGAATCTCGATAAAAGAATACTATTCCTAAATCATTCAAATCGATGATTTGCTGGTAATTTTTAGATAAGTTAATTCAAAGCATAGATTTTTTTAATGATTAAAGCTTTATTTAAATCTTTTTAAAGTAACCTATTCACAGTATAGTTTAGATAATCGTCTGTGTCATTCATTAGATCATTCAATGTTTCGACGCGTTTCAACATATTATCAAACTTCAAAAAGAAGCGTATGTCATACATTCTTTGTTAGAAAAATTTAACAATACAATGAAATGTCCCTAAACTCACCCTATATAAATACGCATCTCCCAAATATACATAGCTAGCATAGAATTCGAACTCCCGAAAAAAACTCATTTTCATTTTTATTGACTAAAATCGATAGAGTCAATAAACGCGTACCACATAAATTCGCTGTTATCTAAAAAATTTGCAGATACATGTATAGAATATTTTATTGTTTTTGTTTTTAGATAGACTTTAGAAATTGAAATTACTTTTTAAAAATCTTCGTTATTTACTTTCTTCTCTTGATTCATTCAGAAGAAAGCATCGAGATTTTTCTGAGTCTATTTTAAAATATATGCTATTATAAGTGGCATAATTTCTATAATTCGCCCAAAG